CCCGAAAACCTACGCCGACGTCACGCGAGGACAGGGCGAGGGCGCCCGCTTCGCTGCTGCGCCCGCCCGCCCCCTCTCGGCGTCCGTGGGGCCGCGCAGCCCGTGCTTGGCCACAATGAGAAGGAGCAGGGGCCGACGGGGTCTCCGGTGGCTGTTTGCCGGGCGGTAGCGCTGACGGCCACGACGGCAACGGCCTCCTCATGGACTACGATGGCTAGGGCGGGCATCCATCGCCACCGGCGCCCGTGCACTCGTCGCGGGCGGGTGGTGCTACCGCTGCCGCCACGGGTGGTCTGCTCGGCAACACCAACATCGGGCCCGTCTCCTCCACTGGGAGTGGCAACAACACCAACTGTGGCGGGCGTGGCCACACACCTCCTGGTGGTGCTGGTCGAGGCCGTGGCGGTGGCGGAGGCCACGACAGTGGCATCGCGCAATTCTACCAGTGATCGCTGGCGCTGGTGTGCTCGATGTGCCTGCAACCTACTTACCTATTCCTCCATTCCCTTACATGCTGGTTGGCACCTATAGGGTGTACAACAACTTGTATTACCACTACGCCAGAGTCGAGGAGGTAGTTCACAATTTGGCTGAATTAAAATGTTATAATTCATTGCTACAGTATGCATGGTCAGGTTAGTATCAGTAGCTATATGCCGAGTTCGCCGCAGAGGGTTCCCCGACATGTGTATTACCCTTAGACTCCTCTAAGTTATTTGTTATCTTCCATTACCCCTGTGACTTCGATTACCCGCGGAAGGGGAGTACTGTTATGTTTTACTGTGATGCGTTCTGTGTGATGTTTTCTATTATCCACAGTAATAGAGAACTATTATGTAATGTTTTGATGTAGTGGGTATTATGGTTCCATTACCTGCAGAATGGGAGTACTACTGTGATGTTTTAATGTGAATTATGTGTGATGTGATGTTTTACTGTGAGTTCTGTGTGATGTCTTCCATTATCCGCCGTACTATGACAACTATACTCCAGTTATGTAATGTTTTGATGTGTACTATGATGTTGACGAAGACATCACATTCAAGTATTTAGCTCTCTTGTCACCACTCTACATTTGGCATACGAATTACATTAGTGTGTGATAAAAAAAAATCTGCATCTAACAAAATATTTAGACAAGCGTACTTACAGATTTCATCTTCACAGCCTCAATTTCATCATGAAAATAGTTTACTAAATCCATTATAGAATATGTATTGATAGAACAACTATTTGGTACTATCAAATAAGTAATGTTATTTTTCTATTTGGTGTTTTGTATTTTTCTAGAAAAAAGACAGTCAAAATTTAAGAAGTTTAACTCATTATCAAGTCCAAGTAACCAATAAAATTTGGAAGGGGAGTAAGATATAGAGTAGTAAATACAGTTAAAAACGAAATTAACTATTGATTTGAGAAAAACAAGTCGCGCATAGTACCATTGTTTAAATTTTGAAAATGTGAGCTATTATTTCCAAAACCACGATGGTTTTTTGTTTTTATTGTCGATCAAACATGGAGAACAACTGTTGCAGGAAGGGGATTGATGAAAATAGTGTCACCAGGACAGGAGATCCCACACATTCGTAACAAGACATGAAACGTGTACGAAAGGTGAGAGATTACAGAGATCAGAGCTCGAATCCATCATGCAACACTTTACACCTTCCTTCACCTGTCAAGTTTCCCAGTCCTAACTAGAATCGCAGGACAAACAGACAAGCAAAGGATGATATCAGCCTATCAGCAACAAGATACAAAAAACTAATGCAATATCATAACAACGCTGGCTTTCTTGAACAAAAGGGTCACCTGGACGCTTAGAGCAATAATATGGTATACCTTCATGGCTTCATTATTTCCCCAACTCCTTGCTTGAGTTTTAGTGGGAAAGAATAGTTTTATTTAGCCAGTAAGCAAACATTTCGTTTGCCGCCGAATTCCGGCGGTGCCTTGTTCCCTGCATGCACTAACAATCAAGCATGTCAGGGCGTAAGATGTTTCAGAAGCAAGCAAAGATCAGCAGTGGCAAAGAGGCGCCTACTCCATCTCTTGCTTCTCTTCGCCATTCTCTCGGTGCTTCAGATATCCAAATCCCTCGTCGCAAGCCTTCTCCTTCAGCCTGCCTGCCGCCGCTGCCCTTCTTCCTCGCCTCCACCCCCTCCGTTCTGATCGCATCCGTCATCATTCTTATGCTTGGGGGCGCGGTTCGTTGTCTCGAGCTTCCTGGGATCGATGGCAGACCATTTCGGGGTGATGGCAGGCCGATTGCTCACGGAGTCAAGTCTTCAGTCCGCCATTGATGAGGCCTCTGTCGTGCCCTCTACCGCATCGACTGCGTGCGATGTGTCTGTCCAAGATGGCAGGCCAGCGAGCGGCGTCTTGGTAGAATGCAGAATCTGCCAGGAGGATGACGACGAGGCCTGCATGGAGGCTCCTTGCTCCTGCAAGGGAAGCTTGAAGGTACAACGCGTCATCATGCTAATCCCACTTCATTTCAGCAATTAGTTTCGGAGGAAGAATTTTCCGGAATTTGAAACATGTTAGATAGTAGTAGAATCGAACTAATTTGGTATGAGGGATCAAATACATGGATTAATTAAGGTGTTTTATTGCAGTATGCTCATCGCAAATGCATTCAGAGATGGTGTGACGAGAAGGGAGACACCATATGTGAGATATGCTTGCAGGTGAAATTCTTCACCAGGCATCTAGTCTCAGCTGGTATTTCAAATCAACTTTACGCGAACAAAAACTGACTGTTATCTTCTGATTCACGGTCACGCAGCAATTTGTACCAAATTACACTGCATCTTCAAAGCTGTTTCAACGCGGAAGAAACACGATTTTCTTCAGGTACCTTGTTATTATAGAACTTCACTTGTTATCACAAGAACGAATGCTTGAGCCTGACCACTGATCAGGAATATATGGAATAACACCCTTGTCATTTCCCAATTGCAGTGCTCCTGGCTACATTCAAGCACGACCAATGCTGAATGCAGATCATTCTGCTACATCAACAAGCTATGGATATGATCAAACTCCAGCTCCTACCGGCGTATTATGTTGTCGCATAATCGCTATAACTGTAAGTATCTGCAGAAGATACAGAGTGCATACTTTTTGTTCGTCCCAAAGCTAGTAACATTCTGAAACATCCACCTTCAGTTGATGGCTCTCCTGGTCTTCCGCGACGCCCTCTCGGTTTTCCTCGGTGACCAAGATGCCTACACCGTTGCAATGGTCACTGTAAGGCTCTGAATTACATCCTTGAAAACCTAGATGCATCACATCAACGCTTGTCCAACTTGGCTAACCTAGTGCTATTATGCTCCTGAAAAAACAGCTGCTGATGCTTAGAACAGCGGCGATCGTCATACCGGTCTACATCATATTGGTGGCGGTTACTGAGCTGCTTCATCGATGCAGGCAACGGCGGCAGGTCTGTCTGAATCTTTTACGAAAGATCGTGCTGCAAGATACTAGTACTACATGCAGTTTCAAACTGAGATGATGAGGCGTGACTGACGATGCAGGTTGTGCACGACCAGGCTTCAGAACATGCAGGAGAGGAGAGGACGCAGCCGCAGCAGCATGTCATTAGCATTCAGTAGCAAGCTGGCCATCAATCCTGGTGTTCTTGCTGTCATCCAGTATTGATCCTTCAATGAACGGCTGAGCTTCAGGTGTGACGGGCCAGCAGATATGGAAGATGACTGTAACCATAGGCATCTCTTCAGAACAGCGTTGCCTGCACTTACTGTACATAGTAGTCGTAGCATATTTAACTGCTGCCAGCAGCCTTCTATAGAGACGATTGTACGTGACCACTCTCTTCGAATGAAGATGAAGTGATCTTCCTGTGCATAACTCTATGACTTGTCTTTTTAATGCATTTACAGTAGGAGCCTCTGGCTCCTCCTGATCCCTCAAAAAAAAAAACTCTTATGACTTGAAGTGAGCTGGGAATCGATTTGCCAAGTTGAATCAGAGATAAGGCAAATTCAGAACTCCATCTCCATGGTTTCTGCACTGGGCGTGGTGCATCCCATGCCACTTTGTCAGTAAGAGGCCGATGGAACCAGAAGTGAGGGACCTGGGTAGGGTAGTCATGGCCAAGGTATAATTTGTAAATCCTGTGAAATTTCGCAAAACATCTTTGAATGTGATCTTATTCTTATTATTCTATAATATGGTTCAAGTTAAAATTATCTCTGGCACTAGTGTATTTTAGAGAGGGGAAATGTATTACACGTTTCACCAGTACTAGCGTATAAACGCGTGCTCCCTCTGTCCAAAAAGCATGCAAATCTCACGTATCTTCATTCTCAAGTTTGATCAGCTTATAGAGAATAGCATCAACATTTGTATCCCCAAAGATGTTTATTATAAAAAATATAGTTCATCATTTATCTAATGATACTTATCATCATAGCTATTATTTCCTTGTATATATTTGGTCAAAGTTTAGATTAATTGACTACCCAAGAGACGATATTTCCATTCATTTTGGAGCAGAGTACTGCAACAATTAGGATGACACATACAATATTACTGAGGTTTCAGCACAGGATAAAGTAAGGCACGCCAAAAAAATTTAATTTTGGTTTTCACTCATTAAATTACTAAGATTACATCAATAGCCACTTTGCCAGGTAAAGGTATGACCTGCAACAAGTTCACGCCGTTGCACGAAACAATCACGTGACTTGGCACTGCTAAATCTACTTCTGTATGTTTTCCATGTAATCACTGATCAACTTTTTGGGTACTTGCCATTGCCAAGATAACCAGTCCAGAAAATATACACTCATGAAGGCTCCCTCCGATGCAGACATGCAGTTTAGAGTTTGCAAGTGATGCACTATTTTCAGTTCCAGTTCTTTCTTTGCCTGTGAAATGAACAAAGGAGACAAAAAGATCCTAATCACTTCTCTATGATATGAATCTACAAAGCTCAGATTAGTAATGGAATCCTACAAACCTAAAATGTTTAGTCAAATTTTCTTTAAAGAACGTAAATGGTAGTACTTTCTGTTCTTCTGCTGGGTCCTCCAGAAGCATGCTAGTGCCCCAAATGTACAGCTAGCAAGGGCGATACCCAGGGCAGCTCCGATTGGTACTGTTGCGGCACTTGATGCGAAAGAATCATCAGAAATTGAGCCTACTTGCTTGGTTACTTGAAGAAGAGACTCCATGGAGGCCTCCCTGTAGGATGATACAAGCATCTTCCCATAGTAGTTAACCAAGAAATTGAATACTTCATCTTCATTCCACTCAACCTGCATGGCTCCATCAGCAGTACTACTAGAAGAACGGTAGCACAATGGACAGAGCTGCTTTGGAGGCCAGATGATCTTAGGAAATGAAGGATCAGCATTGTCTAAATCCTTTTCTTCTTTCATCAACCTCTCATTAACTTTGTTATGCGCGGTCCATAGCCAGAGAGCAAGGTCACGGGCAGATTTGAAGGGGACTGATACACTACAGATGAACGGTAACAATTAGACATGCATTTGATTTTTGTGGCAATATATCGCTAGAGAAGTTTCTCCAAACCTTGAACACATTTCATAGAAGTGCGTGCGGCATTCCTCACAGATGAAGAAATTGTGGATGAAATCACAAATTGATGTAAATGTTGTTTGGCTCTCTCCATCTCCGATTCCGGACAGTTAGTGAATGCAGCAAAACCCATAGACCACAGCTGATACAGAAGAAAATGTTAATTTCATGTGATATTGAGCTTCTGAATGAAGTCTTAGAAAGAACCTGAAGAATAGTATTAAACAACGTTTGCAAATTTCCAATAAAATATGCGGAGCGCAGACATCACCTAAATCCTCTCATTTCCTTTTTACTTCCTCGGCAGAAAATCTGCGAGACAGGTACAAAATATACAACAAATGTTAAACATTCAATGCAAAAAGTTGTACCCAAAAGCAATTGAAGAAAAGGGTTCAAAAGAAGAGCGTGGATTATGAAGTTCAAAGGCTATTGAGAAGACTGAGAATTCGGGCGTACCCAGTATCCACGTGGCACCCCATTTCCACATATTTTCTCTCCTGCACTTTTCAACAATGTAGAATTGTCTTGCAAACTTAATGAGAGGTTTGTATGCCAGTGATCATCAAAGTCAATAAGTAGCTCAGCAGATCCTCTTCGACACCTAAGCAATCAACAAATAAGGCATAAGCATAATACAGCATAGCTATGCATTAGCACTAGTATAATCTCAAAAGGTCACCTCCATACCTCTTTGATGGATGATGAGCCACCAAAATTTGTAAAAACCTAATAAGTGAGTCGCGAGTGTCTGGTTTGATCATCTACAGTTAGCAGGTTACCATTAGCAATAATCATAAAAACAGGCGCAGAGAACAAATTAGTTGTAAGTTTTGATCATTTGACTCAAACCTTATGCTCCAAAATTATCTGCAATGCATGAGCTGTAGCTTCCTCAACATCATAAATTGCTCGAGCAATCTATCAGCATAAAATTATCCTTAAATAGTGCTTCATAAGGACTGAATCGTTTTGTAGATCTCATGTAAATTTACTCAAGAAAACCAGTATGCAACTGCACCTGTTCAGGATCTGAAGCATTTTTTGGGAGCATACTTTCATTCTCATACTTTTTGTCGTCTAAATTGAATGAGCTGCAAAAAATAAAGATGGTTCAATGGCTGTATCAGTAAAAATAAAGCATGCATATAATGGTTACATAAAAGAATTCAAACCATAACAGAATTAGGGTCAAACCAACCCACCAACATACTTCCAGATAAACATGGGTAATAAAAGAGAAAGGCAAGAACAGATGTACAAACAGTTGCTGATTTCATATGAAATTGTGAACCAAAGCATAATAGACAGCAACTTACCTTCCCATCTTCTTGTTTATCCATTTAAGTAACCGATCTGCTGTTCTTCCATCATCAATTAATTCTAATTCACTTTTCTCTTGCTTTGGTTTCCACTGAACCAAATTAAATTTTGTTGGCGGACCCCACACTAGGTAAGGATAATGGTCAACAGAGAATTTATTGCAAAGCTCCACGTTCACCTGTGCTGTCGAACATTCAAAAGAAATAAGGCATCACTGCATGCCAATGCAAACCACAACATGGTGTACAACATGTTTTCAATATTTACCAGCTTAATGGTATTCTGAGAGAACATTGAAACTAAACTAAATCAAATTAAGCGCTAGTTATGCTCCACAAGAGAGAAAGAGAACTAATTTCTATAGTTTTAGCTTTAATAAAAGGGAAACAAAAGATTAAATAATTCTAAAAGGAATATCATTATCCAGTTAAAGGTTAGACTCGATCACAGAAAAACCCTTTCAAAGTTCTTAATTGTTTAGATCCAGGAAATTGAAAAAAAAAAGATATCACCCTTCACTGGAGCTACTGTACCTTTGATGCACAATCAACCCGTGCCATCACAATAGTCCCTGGATGTGCAGCATCTGGGCCATTGAAAAGTTTTGCAACCTTCTCATAGTGAGGCTGTATATACAGAGGAATCAAGATCAGCATGAATTGTAGTTCAGATCATAGTAGAGTCCACTGCTGGTTACATACCTTGTAGTTTCTGCAGGCAGGACACCTGAGCAAACATTGCAGGCATTCAAGTTAGTAGTAGTTCAACAATACATTGAAATGACATAAGCAAGAAATAGATGGAGAAAAGAAAATGTCAACAGTTTATTGAAATAAAAGTTGGCAACAAGCTGTGGTCATCAGTCGATCGAGAAACTACTGGATGATGTCAGCCCACTCTTCAGTAATAAGAAAAATAAGTTCAGAAATGGCTTCAGTAAGTGAGAACCCTTGGGGTACAGAGAATTAGATACTGTAGCGTAATAGAGTACGGATTTATAACCAACGCCACTTCACAGCCATATCTTTGATTGATGTCTTCTAAATAAAACATAACAAACTGAATATACTATTTAAAAACTCGGTTGGTGGGGAAATATCACCCCAAGTTATTTAACTAAGAAGAAACTCTCAGTCAAACCGACCAAGAAAGCCCCTGAACCCCAGCTTCACCCCATAGGGCCGCATTGTAACCTGGGCCGACCATGACCTTCTGGGCTGGCGACCACTGCAACTACCCTCTGGTAGGAGGGCCCAAACCAACAACAAGTGCCACAGGTACTCTAGCACTATTTTTTGGGTTGGCAGCGAGGGGACAAATTGAATACATTATTATTCACGTAAAGTCGTAAACTTCAAAATTCCAAAGCAGCTTGCAGGTAAATCTAGAGTGTGCCTTTTGGCGTGAGACACAACAAGTTTGAGATCATTCCAAGGTTGCATACGCATTAAGTTACTTCCTATGTAGCAGTTTGACAGTAATATTACTTTAGTACAACTTCAGAAAGAAACGATAATGATGAAGTAAGCCCTTGTTTAGTTTGGATCCAAAATCCAAAAAGTTGCTACAGTACCTGTCACATCGAATGTTTGCGGCCCGTGCATGGAGCATTAAATGTAGACGAAAAGAAAAACTAATTGCACAGTTTGGTGGGAAATTACGAAACGAACGTTTTAAGCCTAATTAGTCAATGTTTGGACACTATTTGCCAAATAAAAACGAAGGTGCTACAGTAGCCCCAAAATCCAAATTTCGCGAACTAAACAAGGGCTAAGACTCGATGAGCACGTCACATCTAGTACAGGTTTACAGCCTAGCATACAGAACACACAGTTGAGGAAATTGTTTTTGACCAAACGTACAATTTAACATGTTGCTCAAGTGCTATTTTTAGCTTGACATCCATAGTACTGACATAGTTACTACAAATCTGCAATAGTTGAGGAGGCTGCGGCATGGAGGAACTAATAAGCCATAAAGTTCCTCGTGCCCCATAAGAGATGGTCGTAGAGATCCGTTTTGTACGTTTTCAATCCTTTTGACTTCATATTTGCACTTGCACATCCCAGTGTACCAGTGAAGCACGGCAGCAGCACGCTAATCGGATTGAACCGTGCATCCATCCCAATTCCCACCCGATAGGCCTCGGCTTACACTAACAAAACAATCCACTAACAAAACAATCCTAGCATACTCAAAACCCACAAAAAATTCGCTGGAGCTATATATTATTCAAGTTTTGCCCACACCACAGGCGAGACGAAATAATCATTTGGATTTCGAGTCACAGATTCAGCGATCCCAATTCCCACATATCGGACGATCTCAATTTCAACCCATTTCGCGACTCGGAGACTAACGCGCCGATCGATTTGGAACGAACTCAGCCGCCGCATCGAATCAACGGGAACCAAAACGGGAAAAAAAACGAATCAACGAAGTCAGAGACGAGGGGCCAACCAGTGGGCGAAGAACTCGACGACCGCGAACGACTCCGGCGAGGCCTGGAGGAAGGCGGTGAAGTTGGAGGCGTCGAGGTCGACGGCCGCGTCCCCGTCGGCCGCCTTGGCGCCCCCGACGCCGAGCGAGCGGAGCGCGTCCGCCCCGCGCGGCGCCGCGCCGAGGCAGGCGGCGAGGACGCCGAGGGCGAGGGCGAGGAGGAGCCGCCGCGCTGCCGTCGTCGCGGCGGCCATGGATCGCGGCGGGGGTCGGATCTCTCGGCTGCGCCCGGCGGGATTTGGTGATCTGTTTCGGACACCTGCCAGCCCCGCTCGGACCTCGGAGTCCTCCTACTGGGGCGAGGGCGACTACTAGCAGGCTGGGTTTTAGAGCGATTGTTTCGCCGATCTGGGAAAAGACTTTTGCGTAATTACGTCTTCTTTTTTGAGGGGCAATTATGCAATTTTCTGGGGTGCAAGTGCGACTGCAGCCTGATTTGCCCGGCTTTTGCTTGTCGTAAAAGGTAGACTAGTGGCGTGCTGGAGATAGGCGTACCGTGGCTTCGATGACGTTCACTGGCTGACACATGGGTCCCCAAGAATGTCAAAGGCGGCTCTGACCCAGTGGCGGATCCAGTACAGTGGCACTGATGTCAGGTGACAGCAGTGGCATTTGGCCCGGCCCAGGTATACTCCTCTGTATTGGATCAGATGACAGCAGCCCAAAATCTCCAATGACATCGGTGCTCTCAGCCCACATCAAAGAACCCTCCGTCGTTCGACCTCTTGGCCTCCGTTTCCTTCTCCACGAAGGGTTGCGGGCTTGCTGGGTGAAGCCAAAAGCGACACAAACGACGCCGACTCCACGACTTCGCGAGAGACGAAGCCGCACGCGACGTCGCCTCATTCAAGCGGCCGTGGCGAAACAGCAACATCGATCATCCCCATCGGTACCTTGACTGCAATCTGCATCAATCGTTTCACTCCGTCTCGTCGCGTCGGTACTCGAGCGTTGAGGCGGTAAAGTTTTCCTGTATCTGATTCGTTTGGGTTTTTTTAATTTATTGATTGGTGATTTAATTTAACCATTAATTAATTATCTGACTAGCAAGGTAGAGGAGAATTTGATGGATCGATTCTTGAAAAGAAAAGTACCACCGGTGACCCGTTGATGAAGGGACTTCACGGGGAGATGTTGGTGCATCAAACATCAATGCTACAGCTACAGGTCGTCCTTCTTTGATACTATCACCAAAAGATGTTAATTTAGATGATCTTTTGATGATCCGGTGATAGGAAGAGAATAATTGAATATCACGGTCTTAAGCTACGAGAAGAGATAAGGAGAAGATATTTGATTAGAGGCCCTCATAGACCACAACCTAATTTCAAGTATCCGCAATCAATCATAGCAAATGTTCCACGACGGTTTAATCCTGAATGGTTTAAAAAATATGATTGGCTTGAGTATAGTGAGAAGGTGGATAAAGCCTTTTGCCTATACTGCTGTAACAGAACCGACCAATTATACGAAATTAAGTAAGAAAATCATCCACCAGAGCAGACGATTTAGCAAACTTAAGCCGTATAACCCGGTAGTCCGTGAAATCACGAAGGATTTTTCAAACCAACTTCCATTCCAGCCAAGATCGTAATAAGTTTAGCGGTCACCATCACATATTACATAAAAGTTCGCAATCTCGGATACATGGAGTTTAAACATAGTTATTACAAAACCAGTTCGAATAAAAGTAGCGGAAGCCATTTGTTCAAACCACACACACTCACGCTTGGAGTTCAAATATAGTGCCGGTGAATGATCATCTCCAACAAAAGCATTAGGCGAGGCGTAAGGAATGACCATGCCCATGGTCCTAAGCATCACCATCGCAGGATAAAGGCGGTTGATACGATGGTAGTAATACATACGCCCATCGCAACAAGTGAGAATAAAATCCACGAGTACGAGAAGGTACTCAGCTAGACTTACCCGACATAACCGAAAATAAATGACACCAAGGATTATGAAGTGCTTTATAGTAGGGTAGCTGACTCATTTGCAAAAGAAGCATTTTTTTTGCATTTCAAAAACCTTTCTAAAAGCATTATTGTCAAGTTAATTATTATTAACACGTCGACTAGATTTGCACCTATACTAGAGCACACATATGATTAAGCGGATAATGATAACCTTCGATCATTAAACAACTTACATCTTGTCATATTCACTATAAGCTTGTCCAAGTGTTCCATAAACATTTACTACAATGAAGTCACTCAAGTCAAGTGCTCACTATCCGGGAGGCGATGGCGATTGAATCGATTCTAACCATTTGGTGATTTATTCCTTACACAAACCTCACTCACCCGCTAAAGTGAGATATTGATCACCGAGTCAACTTTCTAGGTACCTCGAGTTTGCAGGGAACCACATGTACCGGGGCCGACCGATCGCACTTTGGTCTTATCATCCCGCCCCGTGTCCTACCACACACTGCTCCCACGCGGTCTGGCGCCATGGGCAATCTACTCGGCCGAAAAATCTCAACCAGCGGTCGGAAGGTACTTTATCCGGCCCGGCTAAATGTAAGGCATCGTTCAACATGACTCGAGGCCCAACAACGGTCGGTCCTTAATCGACCTGAGGCGGAAACACTACTGGTCCAAAACTCGCAAGTCTCCGTCCGGTCTCAACTTCATTTAACACTTAGTTATACCATGACTTCATAGTCATCCAAGCAGATCTAGGTAACGACATATAGCTCGCAGGTGACAGGAAATCACCCGACTTCTACCGGTCTAAGCCAGCTAAGCATTGACTCGACTGCGAATACCAGGGTAACAAGGATATAGTATAACAAAGGTAAACAAGGTATAATGCAGCAACGGTTGCAAACAACTCCTGAACGTAATGCATCAAGTAAAGTAAAGCATTTAATTAAATCATTGCAAACCGGGAGAAAAATGCTCCGGGACTTGCCTCTCTCGAAGGAGCTCGGACGGTGATCGGGGCACTCCGGAAGTTCCTCAACGTCCTCCTCGTCGGCTTCTGGCACTTCCTGCGGCTGCACCTCGAATTGCTCCTCGGGCTCCTCGGGTATGACGACTGGGTTCTCGGTTTGCGATCCTGTATGATGCAATGCGTGTAAGTGCTTATGCAATCGGTGCATCGGATGAGATGAATACAATGGATATGTTTGAATGCAAGGTAGTCAACATCATCCAAGAAAATATACCACAAGCACATGTCTTCTACTGCATTCTCTTCTACTACTAATAGGTTAAGTCAACATCTTTTTAAATGCTTCAAAGATACACCAAAGCTAACATTATTAACTAACTTGCATTAAAGAGGATTATTTTATTTCATTTTAAACTAGGGCTACAACAGCAACCTATATTTCTAGTGCTTATAAAAATCTAAGAAAATTATAGTAGCATAGTACTACTCTAAGTAGACTACCATAAAATTTTCATGGCGTTTGGATAAGTAAAATAGTCTACACAAAAATGACAAAGCATGGCAGGATTATGAACATAAAAATACTTTGAACTGCGAAAAGTGTCAAACAACAGAATTAGTATTTTTTCTATGTTCTTCATAGCATACAATGACTGTACAAAATTTATCACATGCATGTTTTATACAAAGTTTGCTCTCTAACAAAAATAACAAAAATTAGCCATTAAAGGCACTTGAACTACACCTCAAAATTTTCCCACAGCACATGCATGAAACCTATTTTTCCTAGGAAGTACATGACATAAGAAGATTAACAAACTTGAAATCATATTTTTCTGAAGTCTATAGATTTTTCTACATATTTTTCAAGTTATCAGCAATATTCATGATTAAATAAAATTCTACAGCAAAGTATCTCTAAAATGACATGCAATAATTTTCCCAAGTAAATCTGCTGATAAGGAACCTAGCAAAATTTGTTTCAACAAATTTGGAGCAACTTTGAGTACCCAAACATTTTTCAAACCATTTCAAATTTCAAATAATAAAGAATAAATGAAAAACAATTCATTTAAACGATCTTTGGGCCAGCCCATTGAAATCAGCTGGCCCACGACCGTTTCGACCTGTGACCCGAGCGCAAAGGGAGGGAAGACGGCCCGGTGAGCGTTAGCCCATCGCCGCTTCGACTGGCTTTACTGGGTGGTGAGGTGAGGCAGTGCCTCGCGGCAGCTTAACTTGTATTGAGCGGCTTTCTGCCACGAGGCCGGTGACCATCTCCGACACGCTGGCGAGGCATTGGCGAGCGCATGCAGGATGCGAAGAAGAAAGCGAAGTCTTGATAGGGTAGCTAGGCGGTGGAGAAGAGAAGGAAGTCGACTTCCATGGCGGCCGAAAGCAGCATGGCGCCATGGCCGTCGATGTGGCTTCGGGAGGCTCAACTGAGCTCTGAAGAAGCATAAGCCTTGAAAGCAGCGACTTGAAGGAGGGTGAGGCGGAGCTGGCGTGCGATTTCCGCCGAGGTGGAGGAGCCGCGGTGAATTTGCGCCGGCGGTGCGTAAGCGCGTGGCGGCGAAACTTAGGGCTCTCGGCTCTGGAGGAGAGGGAAGCGGCCATGGCGGGAGTGAGCGAGCGACCGGCTCTGGCGATTGAAGGCGGGCGCGATGGTGGTGGCGCAGTCGTGGTCTGCCACATGTGTGATGACGCGCCGACGCATGGTCGCCATACCATGAGAGCGAGCCCTAACGCGATCGGCGTGTGTGGCGGACGGGCGTGGCCTTGGGAGAAGGAAATGTTGTACTGGGCTGGCAGGCGAGGTGGGGTGGGCGGCGGCTTGGGACTTGTTGGCCTATTTGGGCCGGCAAGCGGGCTGCGGAGCGGAAGCGGCGACTGCCATGAAGGAGAAAAATCCTTTTTCAAATATATTTTCAAGGAATTTTTAAATGCCATCTTTCAAATATTATTTTGAGTAAGAAAATGACCTCTTTTGAAAATGTACCAAAAATGAAAGTTGCTTAGAATTTAATTCTCTACAACTTTGCTTTTAGGACCACTGACCAAATTCTTTCTAGATTTTGAATTGTAAGATCAAAGTCCACGTTTAGCTCAAAACCCTAATTTTGGGAATTTATTTTTGAAGCCAAATTTTGAATTAATTTAAATACAAACATTGCTCCAAAAATTGAACTAAACATTGCTAGATGATTTAAAATAGTAGCCAAACATGTTTTACTAACCTAGCAAGAAAATTCAGGGCAAAACAATTCTTAAGCAGTGTATGCAACATTCAACT